TTGTTTTTTCAAAGAGCTTGCATTTCAACTTGTTTCAGACGAGACTTTTTATTCTTCCTAAACTATTCCTCCACTCCATGGTTTCCTTCCCATTCGGCACAATCAACTTGAAAGCTTAAATTTTGACAAGCCATTTTATTTGAATCGAGTAGAGCATACTGTTTTGCAATACATCATTGTGCAAGTTGGCTTTTCAGATGGGAAATTAAAGTGAATTGTTGCCCGACAATGTGGCCAAACTGGACAACATAGAGCTGAGCAACAAATGTGTGCCGGAAAATGTTTGAGCATGTTCAAACATTCGAGCAACAAATTTCTTGATGAATTTGTCGGCCGACATGGTGGCCAAACTGGACAACATTTGAGCAACATTAGGAATTTGTGAATGTTGCCCGACAATGTTGCCCAGTTTGGCCAAGGCTTAAATCGCAAAAAAATCATTTTTTTTCACAGCTTATACTAAGAAACATCTTAAGGTTACGGTAAACGTTTTGAACACGAAAATTGGTTTTCCCTTCCTAAAGGCCAAACGTCTCAAGGAATCTGGATAAACTATATATCATTCGATGCACAAGATTATGGCGTATCTAGCCAGATAAAAATTATTGGCAAATAATGTTAAATGTTACTTTCCATGCGAATTTACTGGTCAAAAAGTGTACCACCTTCAAAAGCTATTATGTACCCTTGCGTTTGAGGTAACAAAATCTGACTTAGACCAGCAGGAAGTGCAGGTCCTAAGCTACCAAAGTGTGTCTCAGATTTTTTAAATTCCTCCTCTATATAGTTTATATAGTTTATGAATTATATAGTTTATCCTCTTCTTGAAACTATATCCTGTCAAAAATTGGTAAATAATTTTTCCACCCTCCCGCAGCTGTATTTGGGTATAAAAGACGGACCAGAGAAAATAAAAAAATTTTGAGACACTTTGTTTGCCCAACGTCTGTTTTGGTGCAAATTTTGGAGCCATTCGATTGGTTCCTTGGGTACATAATAGCTTTTTCGTACCTGCATGTAGAGGAATTTCGAGTCCGATTTTACTGATAGCACTTGCAAGATACACTCGTAAACCACAGTGTAATCCGGGTCAAGTCACTTGAAGATTTAAGATCAATAAGCCTGTGTAAATAAACACGGCCGTACATTGGATATATGGATGTGCCATGCGATATTGTAAATGAGACATGCGACCAAAACCGCAAAGCAACGATAATCGGCTTAACAGGTCAAGATATTTTCAGGCCTCAACTAAAAGTTTTGATAAAGAAATTATGGAAACCTTCGTTTACATGGGATTTTTTCCACTTTCGAAATTTCTGTTAGTTTCAAATTTGGTATCATTGTGTGCCTTGAAAGTTCGGCTACTTGAATGTGAAAAAATCGAAAAAATGATGTTTTCATCCAGAAAACGTTTACCTTAACCTAACTGTAGAAATTTTGCAGATTAAAAACACAATGCTATAGTTCTACGGTAATGTCCTCGTCGTATTCTTCATCAGAACAAGAGCCTTCGAATATTATGATTGCATTAGTATAATTTTTTTTCAGATGTTATGGGTCAAATTTGAAAGTTTATATTTGGAGTTCAGCGTTTGTGATAAATATTTGCTTTTACATGATTCTGCAATGGCGAGAGCAACTAAATGTCGTCCCTGTGTATTTGAGTTAAACTGTTTCATCACTGGACATCACGTATATAAAGATATATAGACCCCACGTATTCAAGAGGAGCTGACCTGTAAAAGAGAGCTTGATAATCAACACGATCAATATGCCGAAAAATTTCTGAAAGATGGTGAAATTGTAGGACACATTCCACGACTATTTTCTAAAACATGCACCCTCATTTTGCTGTCCGGTGGCTCCATGAAAGTTTGCGCGACAGGAAAACGCGAGAACAAAAGAGGAAAGGGGCTGGAGGTCCGTTGTTTAGTGACTGTCAAGGTCTCAGAACATATTCTATCAAAAGTGGAACCAATTATTAAAGATATATGTAAAAGACAAGTGAAAATAATTTAATCTTCTATATGAAAATCGCTTTATGTGTTTTCTCTGTCAATATACGGTAAGAAATATGATATTAAAAAAACCGGGCCGGATATAAGCGCCACGGCGTCTTTATCCGGATATAAGCGCCGGCGCCTATATACGAGCGGCGCCTATATGCGAGATTATAGGGTATAAGAAATTTAGGAATAGGGTTGCAACTGCTTTAAAAGAGAGCAAAGCTTCTTACTTTTAAAATTATTTTCAATCAAATTGTAACAACATAAAACAATTATGGTCCGGCATTAAGTCAATCATAGATATCAAGAAATGTTATGCAAATGTTATAGCGAAGATGAATGACTCTAATGGTAGTATAACATCTGATCCAGCTGTAATTGCAAATATCTTCAATAACTTTTTTGTTGATGTTTCTCACAATGTTACTAAATCAATACCAAGATCTCAAAAATCACCTATGTGTTTTGTAGGTGAAAGAATCAATAAATCATTTTTTATTTCTTCATCTGTCCCTTTCGAAATATCTGAAATAATCATTCTGCTAAAAGAAAGCAAATCTATATGGCCAAACAGTATTCCAACTAACATCTTTAAAATTTTATGTCCATTAATATCCTCTCCATTGTCTCAAATCACAAATGAATTATTTCAGTGTGGCATTTTCCCTGATAAAATGAAACTGGCAAAAGTTATTCCCCAGTTCAAGAAAGGTTGTTCTGCTACAACATCTAATTATAGACCGATATCTTCAGCAAAATTATAGAAAAACTAATGTATAAACGTCTGTATAACTTCTTAGACTACACAATGTTCTGTATTCACTTCAATTTGGTTTCCGTGCAAGCCATTCTATAAACCATGCACTCATTAGCATGACAGAGAATATAAAGAAAAGTCTAGACAACAGAAAATATGGATGTGGAATTTTTCTTGATCTCCAAACAACGTTTGATACTGTAAATCATGAAATTCTTTTGGGAAAACTTGAACACTATGGGATAGATACATGGCCCAGCTTTTAACTGGTATAGATCCTATCTTACTGATAGAAAACAAAATCACAATATGTCTCTGTTAGCTAGAACTTGTGGCATTTTCTCTGACTTAAAAATCTTAAAATTACAAGACTTGTTGTTTCAATCAAAACTTTTATCCTTTGTCTATGAATGTATCAATAGGATATCGCCTGTCTACTTTAATTCAATCACTTTGAATCAATCAAGTCTATTCATCAACATGATACTAGAAAGGCTTCTAAGAACGACATTTTCTTAACTCAAAAAAACACCCTTCAGTACGGCTGTCCGTTTTTCTGGTGCTACATCGTGGATAAGTATTCCTACTGACATCAAAGAATCTGTATCATTGGTTTGCTTTCGTTACAAATTGAAGTAATATCTGCTTGCAAGAAACATTAACAGCTAATTTTTCACCCTGTTTTCCACTTCCCACTTACAGAAATCGGAGTTTCATTTTCGGTATTATTTATCTTGATATCTTTGAAGTGCTGAAATATCTTAATGTATACTATAGGGGGGCCTCTCTCCTCGACTAGCTTTGCTACTGAGAGAGTTCCTCCTTTAAATAATTCCCCATACATGCATATCCCACAGACAATTTGTGTTCCATATCTTATTGTTATAGTCATTGTTTGATATTTGATGTTGCTGTATTTTTATTAGTATTTTTTGAAAATGTATGTTGTGAAATTTAAAATAAAATGAACCTGAACCTGACTCTCTGTGTTGCTTCTACTGGGCCCAGAGGGGAAGCTCAGGTGGTAAATTCTTCAAGAAGTTTGTTTTGTTTGCAGACAGGCCTCTCTGGATGCTGCTAAAATACTTTATTTAACACCAATACCTGACCATTTTCTTTCTGGTTTTGTATAATGTAGTTTAAATGTAGAAATCATAATTATTACGCTGTTCTGCATCTTAACTAGAACTAGAATATTCACTCAATGGTTGTGCTGTTATTTTCATAATATAATGTTTTATTGATGCATTTTAATTCGTTTAAATAGCTATTTAATTTGTTGTGGATAACATGGTATTTATTTGCAAGTTGAATTGCTGTAATTTTATCTAAAGAACTCACTGTAAAAAAGTTATGAGAGAATATAACAGTCAGAGAAGCCATTACTTTCTTGCAATCTTGTTACTCATTTTGTCACCAAGCAGAATAGGAATTCTTGCACATGGAAGATATGTGCCCGTCAGTTGCAGTGGCGGATTTAAGGGGAGCCCCTCACCGAGTTGAAGTAAGTCTGGCGCCCCTTTTTGTAAATTGTGCACCTTTTTTTGTAAATTGTGCGCCCCTTTTTAAGACTTATAGGTTGATTTGCTTCAAGGATTACCTCAAAGTATACAACAATTACTGTGAAAATTTCGAAAATTTTGAAAATTGTTGTATAGAGCGTACACTCGTCAACATTTTTCAGCGCCCGCACTACCAACTGCCCCTCCTTCAAATTTGCTCTGGATCCGCCCTGGTCAGTTGTACACCATTCCAACTAATGTGACAGCCTTTGATGAAAAATTTTGCGCTTTGGTTGTGTGGTGTTCTATTTTGAAACAGCCTTGACATGATGCATCTTTCGAAACTTTATGTGGCTAATCTTGAGTTATATGGGCTTACATTGCACTTTTGTTTTGGAGATGCATCTCATTTTTTGTTTTATTGATACTAAGCCCATAACGAACAAGGTTTATTGAGAATGCAACAGCAGAAGACATTGATTTGTACTATTTATTGTAGCAACCGTATAACATAAATCTCGCTACCGTCAAGACCAGTATCTATTAATATTTTATTTTCTGGTGTTGTGGTACCTACACGCCTGTACGCATTTATCACATCAGTCATTCGCCCCGTCAATATGTCCCAGTCTGCACTGTCGTCATCATCTACGTCGTGGTAGTCATCTACATGACCTGTTTCGAACACTAGACAAATAGAATTTCTAATGAAAATAGATTCATGCATATCACTCTTTTCTTTTGCTATAAAAAACTGCTTCAAAACTAAAGCTACTAAGTCATCATCAATTGCTGTGATTTTTAGAGCAATTTCAAGAAATTTTTCTTCATTTCAAATTTTAGATATAATTCATAAGAAGCTTAGCAATGCTACAAATGAGACTGCAAAAGCAGTAATCGCAAATAACGATGTTACTAAGGAAATAGAAGGGTTAAGAGCTTAAATGTTTAGAATCAGTAGAGAGTTAGAAAACAAAGATAAGGTAATAACTCAAAAAATATTAGTGAATGTATTCATCAGTAAAGGGTTCTGAAATTTTAGAGTTACGCATTTGGTTAAAAAGCTCCTTTATTCTTGTTCCACAGTTCTCTTCGATACTGTACCAGTCTCCCAAATTATCATAACTCTTTCGCTCTAACCTCTCTTCATTTATCTTACGGCAAATTTCACATGACCAAGATCTTGGTGGACCAAGTACATAATCCCCTCGCCACTTATGATAACGGTTGTACGCCTCGTCATTCTGATCCAGGTATTTAAGATGATTGGCTAGAACTTCTATTGTTTCAAATTCAAGAGCATCAATGTATGAGTTTGGAATAGCCCATTTTTTATAATCTGCACCACCTAGGACAATTGGGACAGCATAACCATCAAGGATGGTTTTAAAGAATTTCTCTGTAATATAGTCTCTACAGAACGAGTTTTCGAATGCTAGATAAAACTTATACTTTCTTTTAATCTCATTGCATTCTTTTGTGCCTCTTGGACAAATTTTTGGTTCGTTGTGATATCTAGATGAGCACCCACCATACACGTCAACATCAACGTACTCCTGTAATTTTTTTATATATCTCTCACGGAACAACCCGCAGTGTCCTATGATGACAAATGCGAGTCTTTCCTTACCCTTTGCGTGATTGACGCTTTTCAATGCCTGATCTGGTTCAGGCCTCTTCTCCCAGGTGCCCCATTCCCAATTGTAAGGGACAACAATATCTGCATTACCCTGATACGTCATTGTCCAGTTGAAGAATCCATTGAATAATCCAGGGCTAGGGTGTGCATTGTAAGGGTTTTCGTGAATGAAATAAATCCATATTTGTTTTTGGTGTCGATGTTTTGAGATCCGTGAAAGCGTCTCTGCCGCAACCATGTCACTTCCCAATGCATGGAAGAGCACAACATCAGCTTTTGGGAGCAGCTGCTTGTTTTGGGTGATTACACAATGCTGAACTTTACAAGGATGTCCTAGAATGAGTGCAAACAGTGCTTGAATTTTTTACATACTCTCACTCATTGCTATGTTATTGAAGTAAAAATCTTTTAAATGATTACATAAAATTGATACTTTTGTTTCTAGTGTCCTAGACCTTAAAGTGAGGCGGCGAAACTGCCTAAATTGGCAAACTTAAAATCTCGATTGCCTTTTTGAGAACAAAGGTGCATCTACGTGTGCTAGAAATGCTGCTTAGCAGTGACCACGCATCACTCTAAAAGTGGAGAGGCTGAAATGGGTGTGACAAAAATTTTTTTGAGCCCACGCCCTTTTGAACGCCGGAAAACGCCTCTTTAGAAAATATTTTTCTTATTTCTATTGAAATTTTATAAACAGTCTGGTTCAGAGAAGATATCAAACACTATCAAAATAGATAGAATTAGCTCGAGGGAAATAAAAAACCAAGCTAACCAAGTTAGAAAATACATCATATCATTAAAGAAGATGAAACACCTAGAAAAAGAACAAAAATGCATCAACTTTGCGTGAAGGATTTGCTGCAGTTCTGTTTCATGAGTTGGAACATAGATGTTTCTTTCTTAAACCAGATCTCTTTCCTGAGCGCTGTCCTGAACATCAGACGGAGAACTTAAAGATATGTATCACATCTGATCATACCCTGGGTACCAGACTCACTATATATGAAATAAAATAGAGAGTCTGGTCTAGTGCGCCCCATTCTCGTTCTGGTGTGCTTATATTGACCAATCAGGAGCGAGTGTACAGATTTCTGTACGTTCAAAGGTCACAGCGAAACAATAAACTTAGCTCTGGTGTAAAACATTGAACAGAACACAACATAAATAAATGCTAGCGACTGTAAGGATTTAGTTTGAAGATGCTGTTAAAACTGTACTCAAAAAATATTTTCCGCATGTTGTGGAACTTAACACAGAACAACATTGAAAGCCTTGTTTGAAGAGAGAAGAGACACCTTCGCCATATTGCCAACTGACTTTGAAAAGTCTCTGATATTTCAGGCAGTGCCTCTCATTGCAAAGAAATTAGGCCTTGTAGTGAAATGCAGTAAATAAGAAACACCGCAAGGCGCCGAGAACAAACAACAACAAACACAAGTAAATCAGTTATGGCTAATATTTTCCCCGGCATACGGGGCTTCGCTTGTCATATTGGCCATATTTGCTGTGGCGAACTTCCAACGTGATGATTCTAACCGCCGCGGTGTCCAAGCGCGCTGCCTTCACAGTGAGGAAGTAGACTGAAAGTACACTTAATTTATGTGGAAAATTACAAAAGTCTTATTTTAAGTTGTATGCGAAATTTAACAATGATTAACATTTAGTAACTGCATTGTGCTAACTTTAATTTCATGCTTCGCATATGCTTTTTGCTGCCAAGGCGTTTTACACCTGATTTGATTGGAATCTTGAGGCAGAAAAGTCTGTTATCACTGTATTAATAATGTCAACTTTACAGAACTATATAAAATACATTGGCTTTAAGATTTCCCAAAACTCCTCCGACTACTGAGTATCTTTGTTATTTTCCGACAGTCTTGTTTCACAGGCCTAGTCTGTTAAATAGACTTCAGTTCTTTCAAGTAAGTTCACCCGAACGAGAATGGGGCGCACTAGACCAGACTCTCTATTATTTTATATAGTGAGTCTGGTACCCAGGGTAATCTGATCATCACTTTGTAAAAACCTTTAGAACTTGAGATTCAGAAAAACATAGATTCATGGAGTGGTTAGCTTTAAGACGTTTGCCCCTCGTATAGTGACCAGTAGAGTGATGTCACGAAAATCTTTTTATGAATTTGAATTTTGATCCCATAACTTGAAAGAGCGTCGTGAAATACCTCGCTAAAGGTGTTACGAATTGGCAGAGATTTGATCAGATGAGCACAGGCTCTTGCCTCATCAAACCTCTGTAATTTGGTATCTGTTCATTACTTTATGAACAGGACAAAAATAACAGGGATCCGTTAGCAAATTTCAAATCTTCTAAGGCCTATTTCCACTTCATTTGCAATTCGTATTTCGCACGCGATTTCCGATTTTCGAACAGAACACATGCTAACAAATACACACCCGCAGTTTTTGAGTCACTGACCCAATTTTGCATTTTGAGCGTAGGGATTGAACTGATGGACTGTTACACATACCTTGAAGAAAGCATCTACCAAGGATGTATTTTCTTGTGTCAAACCAATGTTTTAATCATGGATGTCATGTCATATTGTACTAAAGAATTCAATCAAAATTCAAGAAACTCAATTTCGCCGCCTCACTGTTAATCAAATCGAAAGAAAATCTATTGTATTTGAAAGAAAATGAAACTCTTATGATCCAAACAGGCATAGGACAGTATCATGAATCTAAAGCCCTCATTTTTCAAGCTTATGCCATGCCAATAGCCTTAAATGTATTCACTCAGGGAAAGATAGATCGAAGCTTGTTTTTGCATCGAACGAGCTCTGATTAAAGTAATCTATCTTTATTCAATCAAGATTGCCCAATGATATAATTTGCTTTTAAAACGGAAAACGAATTGATTGCTTCTATACAAATACTTGCCTCTCCAACTGACAAATCGTTCACTGGTTTCCATTTCTGGCCACTGTATACTATTCCACAGAGTAGTGTAGAAAAGGATAAGTTTTTTTCGTTGCTGCCTTGTTGCTAACCTCTGAATGGCTGTTGCTGTCAGTGCATTTTGTGCAGCATTGGCATCCGTTTGCTTCTGAGAACTGCTGTTAGCAAATTCAGTTGGCTCTACAGAAGATCTTTTCTGTCTGGTCCCTGCTTGACGACAATCGTCTTTTCCCTTTTCATAGGAAACTTTAAGCAGTATAATCACCAGAGAGAGGGCAAGAAAAAATACTTGGTTTCTAAAACGCAGCAAACTGATGCATCTATAAATCTTCATGCTTTCTGGCTGATCTATCGACTTCGACTTGCTTTAAACCTGTAAGTAAATTAATAACTAACTTTTAAAATCTTTTGTATGAATAAGTAAATTGATAAAAGGGCTGTGTGTATAGCATAAACCAATGTATAGCATACATATTTTATAGCGCTGGTTGATCGAGTATCGATTTTCGACATAAATTTGTTTTGGTCAGTGTCATTTTAGACTGTACCCTATCGCTGTTTTGACCTTATCAGCTTTAAATGGCTGTCAAAAATTGAAAAGTCATGTTTACGCGAACTTTGTAAAGTTAATTCACAGACCAAGGATTAAAGAATCCATATGTTTTGGTCTCGTCATCAAACGATCTTTTGTCAACTCGTAAAAAGTCTTCAAAGTTGGGAGCTTGTCCGGATGAAAATATCCCATCAGCCAGTAGGAAAAAATATATACTGCATCCCCTCTCACATCACGAGCAATGTTGTTTTTTGCATTTCAGGTAGTTATGATATGATTTTTAACTCTACAACCAACGTTGTTTTGTGGGAGACGGAGTTAGGTCTTTCTTACCGAAAACATTTAATTTTATCTAAAATAATACTTCGAAAAAAGCAAACATTTAGTAAACTAAAGCTTTTCGTCTGACACTCTTCAGAGTTTAAAACGTCAGAACATAGATCGAAAACTCTACGCTAAGAAATATATATACCCAGTTGTGGATCGAAATAGGCCAATCGCAAACACGAGCACATGGCTGTAAAGGTTGACCAATCAGTGCCGCTTGCCTATTAGAATGCTACCAATGGAGTCCTAAGGTGAAAACGAACTCCTTTTGTCTACACAGTAGCGGTTTTTTCGTGCTTATGTAGATAGATTCTAAAACTGCTAGGTGGAACGACGATCGGGCTTTACCAATAATCCGAAACATGTCGCCATTATAGTTTTTTGCACAATCTGGGTTTTCTAGCAAATGCTGCCCGATAGCAGAATCGCAGGTTTTATTAGTAATTTTGGATTTGCAAGACCGAGGTGGCTGTTCTCTTTGGGGATGTGTTTTGTTTCTAATATTAGATGGAACGTGTTGTTTTATCCTATCCTCCAATCTTTGGGTGGTGCGTCCTACGTAGCCAGAATCACACTGGCACGTGAATTCATACACAACAGAACTTTTTTTTGTGGCAGGAACGCAGTCCTTTTGAATGGACGGAAGGGCCTTTTTTGTACTGTAAACAACACGTGGGTTAACCGCGAAGAAACAATTTGTTATGGCCTGTTTTATTTGGCTTTCAAAACATAGGGAGCTGTTACCGATCCAGGGTAGTTTTTGATAGACCGGGCACTTTTGAGGACCAAATTTTACGTCAGCCGAGAAATTTCCTATCTTCTCCTTAATGTAAACTGAAATAACATGTTCTGGATAGCCGTTCTCCAGAAAAATCTTAGTTAGTTTTCAAGTTCCGAGTCGAGTTTAGACTTGGAACAAATCATCAGTGCCCTATGTGTGAGCGTTTTGATGAGGCTGATTTTTCTTTGTTTTGGGCAAAACGAACTCCATCGAGTGTATAACCCCGAAAATGTGGGTTTACGGTATACACTGGTAAGAAATCCAGTGTCAGATTTTTCAACCAAAACATCAAGAAATGGCAAGGAGTTATTTTCTTCCTTTTCAAATGTAAAATGTAGGGCTGTGTGAAGACCATTAAGGCGTTTTAGGAAAATATCACACTCAGCCTCTCTTTTGAAAATAGTATATGTGTCATCCACATACCGAAAATAGACACCTGGCTTTTGGTCGCAGTCAAACAAACGCTCTTCATGAAAGCCAACAAAGATATTGGCCAATGCAGGTCCCAGAGGGCTACCCATAGCGACACCATCCTTTTGTTGGTACATTTCATTGTTAAAGCTGAATTCAACTGAACGTGTTGCAGTTTCCATCAGTTCAATGAATACTTCCTCTGGGAATGGTGGGCTATTAAGCTCGCTCCGGTACAAAGCGTCGGCACATATTTTGATGGTCTCATTTAAAGGGACATTAGTGAAAAGACTGCTAATGTCAAAAGAACACATGAAAGATGTTTCGTTTTCGATGTTCAAGTTTTGCATGAACTCAGCGAACGTAAAAGAGTCCTTGATACAATGTTTTGAATATTTTTGAAGAACAGGGTCCAAAACTTCAGAAAGCCACTTAGCCAGTTCGTGTTGTGCTGAACCAATCATAGACAAAATGGGTCTAAGTGGGACATTCGGCTTGTGTATTTTAGAGAGGCCATACATTTGTGGACGTTGTGAACCTGTGGGTCTTATCCTATCATAAACTTCGTTGGTCAACACTTTTGAGTTAACCAGCTCCAAAAGGCGTTTTTGAAGTTTCCGCTCTAGCTTGGCCGTTTTATCCTGTGTTTCGACGTCACCCAATTTTTCGAACTTTTCTTTGTCGAGGAGAATACTCTTCATTTTTTGGATGTAGTCCTTTTTGTTCAAAATAACCACTCCTGACCCTTTATCAGGCTTTGTAATAAAGATGTCATTATTAGACCGTAGAGATTTTAATGCTTGAAAATGTTCTCTATGCAAAAGAAAATCTGAGTGGTCGATGGGAGAGCCGCTGTAAGCGTACGCCAAATCGCTTAGTCTTGCTCGTAATTTGTTAAATTCCAAAGCATCAGAAATATCGTGTCTGGCAAGTTGAGCGTGTAAAATTTCGAATTCAGCAAAAAGTTCCTCTCTGTTTATTCCTTGTGGTGGGATACAAAATTCAAGACCATTACCTAAGACAAATGTTTCGGTTTCAGAGAGAGAATAGTCCGACAGATTATAAATGTTTTTTTGAATCGCTCATCAAGCCGCCAAAACGTTTCCTAACTAGCATGCCAATGTTCCTATCATGTTTTTCTGTAGTCTGTTTTAGCTTCCGCTGGTCAATTTCAGAAAAGTAGCGGCAAAGTCGAAAATTATCAAAGAATGTGAGAAACGGACGCGTTTTAGACCATTGGCGTGTGTATAAACGTTTTAGATTCAGAATATTAGTTTTAGTTTTAGTTTTAGGATTATTGGTAAAGCCCGATCGTCGTTCCACCTAGCAGTTTTAGAATCTATCTACATAAGCACGAAAAAACCGCTACTGTGTAGACAAAAGGAGTTCGTTTTCACCTTAGGACTCCATTGGTAACATTCTAATAGGCAAGCGGCACTGATTGGTCAACCTTTACAGTCATGTGCTCGTGTTTATGATTGGCCTTTTTCGATCCACAACTGGGTATATATATTTCTTAGCGTAGAGTTTTCGATCTATGTTCTGACGTTTTAAACTCTGAAGAGTGTCAGACGAAAAGCTTTAGTTTACTAAATGTTTGCTTTTTTCAAAGCTATTTACAAGTTTTGTACCACCAAAAGATTGTTTAAATAATACTTCGTTCTATAACAAAAATGAAATTTTGGCAACTGGGCTTTCAAAAGGTTCTTGATTCTTTAATATTGGAGCCATATAGTATCATTGCTATTAAAAGGTAAATAAATCACCAATCTCTTTTCAGCTTTGAGCCTGAATCCATGCATACAATGGTTCAAGAAATAAACTCTTTTGATTCGAAAATAGCCAACTGGAACTGATAGAGTGCCATCTAAAGTTATCAAAGCCTCAGTGGAAGAACTTTCTGAATCATTTTAATTTTTCTTTAACCATTTTATCAAAACTAGTGAATGAAACAAACATATTTATCACCAGTATTGAGAAAGAAAACCCAGATGATAAAAAGAACTACAGACCAGCCCCACCCCCCTTCCAATATGAATTTCGTTCAGACGGCACTGTTATAAACTTCTTTTTTTCTCTATTTCCTTTTTAGTTGGTAAACGTACACTACTAGCCATACTAAAGCTAATTAAAACCAACTACAAAATACAATTTAATTTCTTACTCGTGGAAAAACTTCAACAAAAGAATTCCATCAATTTAAATAAAACAGCTCCCTCAGAAGACATTGCCACGCCACACACTCATCAAATCACAACTTGAGGCTACATTCCCTCATCACAGGAAGCAACGTTAGACCGTTGGTGCATCGTCACAAGTTGTTCCAAACCTAACCTTTGATACAGTTTGATATTTATTTTCCTAAAAACACTTTTTGCAAAAAGGTCGGGGCTGAAGCGCCCCACCCTCCTTTCTGGCGCCGCCCGTGTGCTTGATAGCAAAAGATAAGGGAGGGAAGGATGGGAGAAGAGAGCAGGGAGGAAATATCAGGGATAAGAAAAATGTTCAGAAAAAAATAAGCTGCGCCCAGTTAAGAAGCTAATGAGGAAAATTGACGGTCTTCAGAAAGAACAAGGAAACAACTTTGTGAGGCAAGAAAGCTCTTACCATAACAACAACTAGGCCTTATTTCTACTAATAAAACCACTGTTGCCATGACATTTTGAAATCCATCTCGCGATTTCCTCTGTGTTAATCGGTGTGCCGCATTATTTTTGTACAATGAGGTAACAAAGTAACACATGCTTTAGTTCAAAACTAAATACAAAAGATGCTACAGAAATTACGCTTGTTAATTGCTGGATGCAATCAATACAATAAAGCGAATAAAAACTGTGTGAGGATAACACATAATCATTGGTAATAGAATATAAAGAATCTCAAACAAATGTCGCTACTAATTATTCCTAAGATGGCTACTAACCAGGTTGGGAAACATGTTTCAATTCACCCACGTGTAGTTGCAAGCGGCCCCGAGGGGGGAGGGCAAATGTTTCATGTCCTTGCCCCAAAATCTCAGTATTTCACACTTTGATGTCCAATTTGACATTCATATTGTTCATGCTAAACCTTCCTTCTCATAATTTCGCAATATCTTCCCAAAATGATACCCAAATTTCTTCAAATAGTACCCATGGTTCCCGCGCATATTTCACAAACTGATACTGATAATTCGGCTCTTTTCAGAAAAAGGTACCCCTAGAAAATAGCACGTCTCCGTACCTTCAAGAAAGTTAGGCTGCAAGCCAAAGTATAAATTTCTGAGCGCAGAGCGCAAGGAAATTTTTTATATGCGAGTGAGGCTCATTTTGACTGCCAAACCCAGCTTTCACAATAACCCAACGATTGCTGGTAGAAAGGGAAGATACCTTGCCAACTTAATAAAAAGGAAGATACCTTGCCAACTTAATAATTCTTCAAGTTATCTATCATTTCTTCAAGGAAATTACAAAGTGGACAAATTAGAAGGGGATGAAGAAAATTGAAAAAACAAAAGTATCGATGTTGAATTCGACGAATATATGAAAGCGGACGATATCAAAATTGTTGAAAGTAACAACGGGGATGATTTCTGATTGTCGCGATGCTGACGTTAAGATAGTCCGCTCCAATCTTCGTTTGCCTTGCTCGGAACTTGGTACCCAGAGTAGCAATTGGACATGATTGAAAAGGTATGCTTGTTATTTCTTACCGGTTATAGATACTGTGATCTTCTTTATACATCGATTCTAGGACACCTCCAATCAAGCTGAAAATGGGTTTCTGTCGTTTGATGTTTGGGTTATGCAGCGCTTGCCTCGTAAGAAAGCAAAGAATAAAAGTTTCATTGAATTGAACTGATGCAAACTGCGACACGTTCAGTTGAATTCAGCTTTAACAATGAAATGTATCAAAAAATTGGTGGTGTCGCTAAGGGTAGCCCTCTGGGGCATGCCTTAGCCAATATCTTTGTTGGCTTTAATGAAGAGCATTTGTTTGACTACGACCAAAATCATGGCGTCTATTTTCGATGCGACACTGATAGTTTATGGAAGGATAAAAGGATGAAAGGATAAAAAGGATATCTTGGCCCTTTGAAGACACAAAGCAGGGGCGGATTCAAGGTGTCGCACAGGTCGCACGGTAGACCGTCAGATTTTCGGAATTTAGTTTTAGTCTTCAGTCATTGAAATAAGACAATCGTGTTCACCACAATCTTTTTTTTTCCACCTTACAGATAATACATTTTGCTCTCTTTATACAACAAACGCAGGACCGAACTTGATCGATCTCACACGCAATGCCACGATTTAATTCAATATAGAAGAAATTCAAAGACCATCATAGACCGTAAACAGAATGATTTTTGAGCATGTCGCCCGTGCCGCACAAATATGCAGGGCTCTTTGTTATGCAAATATTTTACCAAATCTTACCAATCAAAATTCAAGTTATCACATATTTGTGCGGCACGAAAAGTCTGTAAACACTATGTTAGATTACTGTGCCGCACAACTGCTACCCTGGGTACCAGACTCACTATATAAAAAATGACTCTATTTCATTTTATAGATAGTGAGTCTGGTACCCAGGGTACACAACTGCTGGCAAGGGAAGAAAGTGGATGAGGTTGTAAATTGTGAAAGGGAGGAGTCCCAATTTTCTTTATCTATACGGAAGAGGTGCACAGGAAGTGTACACTTCTGAATCTCAAGATATTTTGTTTCAACTGCGTGTTGGATTTGCTGGAAAATCTGGAAAACCTTTTAAAGGGAAAAGGTTTGACTGAACAATTTGAACGTTTCAGGGCCCCAGTCCTAATTGCTCTGGTTCGGGGGAGGCTGGGCCCCCATCATGGCTCCGCCTTTGACCATGAGGGAGGCCCCCTAGACCGCCTGCTGGGCAGTGTTAATGTGCGACCGTCAACTTTTATTCTGTATCCGCCCCTGGCACAAAGGATGGTTTACTTATTATCCTTTTTGGACCACGCCCTTTTCCCATGTTTGAAACTTTTTCTTCCGGAGGAAACACTTGTTGTCTCCCAAGAAATGTCATTTATATGTGACGATCTAGATAACGTACATACCTCCCCCCCCCCTCCCTCTGACGTTTTCTCATCAGGTTTGCAAGAATCTCAAGGACCAACCTTCTGGAAAAGTGGGGGGACTAGTCCCTTCCCATTCCCCATTCCCCCCCCCCGTGGCTCCGCCACTAGTGGCTTGTAGCAAGTTCATCGAAGGATGCCTACACAGTGTTGTTCAGAGTACGAAACATCACCGTCATCACCAACATCTTTCATTTCATTTGAGTTCAAAGTCACAAAACCTTGCCTTATCTGTCGCTGAAGGTGCTGAATGCAATCATAATTTCCAAATTGCTTTTACAATAAAGTTTTGGGTCAAAATAAAGGCTATAAGCCTATCAATTACACAACTTCCATCTTAAGTCATTTTCAACAACTCCAATTCTTCCCGTTCGTACGCGGATCACATGGATTGTTTACTTCTATCTATAGTTTTTTCTATGTGTCTGTGAGCTGCTTTTATCCAAGTATGTAGAGCGTATTACTGTAATAGAAATAATAATGTAATATATTTTATTTATGGTGAATAACGTTTTTCAAGCTTTAAGCTTCCAAAACTGATTAGTTGGATTAGCGTTGTTGTTGTTGCCTCGCTATTTTTCCTGCTGTTGTTGCGATAAAAAAATTCTTAGTGTTGCACGTTTGAAAACCGAGAGAAATTAACAAGGAGCTAACATCATAAGAAAGAAAGAAGTAACACGATAGCAAACAAAAAAATTGAAACATGTTCACTGCTTTGGAACAAAAAGAAGAGGTTGTAATGATTGTAAGTATTGCGAAAAGTTTATTGTGGAACCCGGGAGCATCAAATGCGCTTATTGCAATTGTGTGCCGGTGTAATATGCGTTTCGGTCCCCCCATGCGAAAGTGTCCGGGGGGACCGAAACGCATAGCAAAACGACACTATGCAAAAGTGTCGTTTTGCTTCCGTGAAGATTCCGTGAAGTTTTTGGTCTGTGACGCAGGCTAGATACACAATAGAGCACGAAAATTTCCTATTCTCAGCCGAACCAGATGCAAATGGTGTAAAAAATATGTCAGATCAAGATTACATTCACAATGGAAAAAAGGTTACCAATCACTTGAAGCATTCTTCTGAAGCATTAAGGCTTGGTTACTATCTATGTCAAATCATAGTCATAAGACTATGGTCATATGAATTACTTACAACTGGTGTTTAAGAATGAAAGTGTGCATCTACACTAACATGGTCCCCATCATAATGACGTTGAGCCAAAGGACCGCATGAACTGGGAGAGTGCACAACGCTTAGTGTTCCCTAAAGTGAAACCATTTGGAGAAAATTAACAGTGGTGAAGTCCTGCCCAGAGAAAACGTTTCAGGTATCTGCTGGAGGAACATAGAAATCTTTTCCTCTTAAGAAGCCGACCTTTTTGCAAAGAATCGAGAATCTGGCGAAACTGGGTTTACAGGACGAATGGCCTGACACTAAAGAAGAATTTATTGTCTAAAGAAACTTACCAAGATTTAACGATTTCATGTCATCATTACCCAGTCTTTTTTAAGCGACTAGGCACAGATGTTTGCGAAGAATACTTTTCGGCAAACGGCTCTTTTATCACCAACAATCAAAATTACACAAAAACTGACATGTACAGGAATTTGAATAGCATGAACTGGCTACAGGAAATTTTTGCTGACTCTGATGGTCCAGATAACCCGAAGAAGCACCGTAAAGGTGAAAACATTGGTTTGGAAGAAAGTGAACATTCTTGCACCTCACGCAAATCCACCCGACCTTAGTAACTTTCCAAGTGACGCTGAAATTGTACTGCACTGGGAAATGGGGCTATTAAGGACCGAGATATTAAGGACTGGTGTTGAGCAGTATAGTATCGTTGGCAATACATGTGCACGATACACCGATTTTGCAGCAAAAATTGACATTGAGCAATTCTAATATAATTTTCTCATTCTTGCTAGTAGCTTGATTCGAGCCGTAGTATTTTTAAGCACCTTGTGTAAATGGTCACTCATGCTCAGCAAAGGGGCCAGGTGCATTGCAAGATATTTATACTTAGATGTAGAGTTTATCAGGTTACCTTGCTACGATACTTTCAAATCACCATGGGAGCAAAGTCGCTTAGCAGTCCCGAAAAGCAAACTTTCTGTCTTTCCTTTCTTTAGGTTAATGATTAATCTATTTTTGTCAAGCCAATCTTTAATGACAGTTATATTTGCCGGTAGGGTGTTTTCAATTACTTTAATTTCTCGATGAGTTGTGTATATCACAGTGGGCTTTAAGAGTATGTAGAAACTTGTTGGCAAATGCTTCGACAAAGCTGAGAAAAATGAGCGGCAAAGCTGAGGCATGGGCTCCGACAAAGGTTGAAAAGTGGGGGGGGGGGGCAAGGGAAAATTTAACACCCATAACAGATTTTGAAAAGATTTTGAAAAAATTATATTGTTTTGCAAATAAGTGGGGGGGCCAAGGCCCCCCTGCCCCTCCCTTCGTCGAAAGCCCTGTGAGGGCTTGGCAAAGCGAATGGAGGACTGTTCTCCGCTGAACATCTATGTCCACTGCCTTGGCCATTAGTTTAATCTTGCAGAAAGTGAGTCAATGAGAAATGGACTTGGTGTTGTTCAAGGCCTCTACGATTTCATTGAGGCTAGCCCCAAAAGACATGTTATTTCAAGAAAAAAGTTGAACATGAACCGTCATATAGGTAAGAAGGACAAAGCGCAACGCACAGGGCTTGCCAGAAGGGGGAGGCAGTGGACAGGACACATATTCTCTTTGCAAGGATAAAGACTCCGAAACCCATCTAGAAAGCAAAACTCTGTTCAATTTTTTCTACAACGTAATGGATAAAGTTTTGGAGGAAATCTGTGCTTGATTTAGTGATAGTGACTATCGCATCTTATGTGCTTTGGCGTAACGAAGGCAGAGTCCAGAAAAGTCCTCAACCTTCCTCCGGTCAAAATTTTATGAGATAAGGGGTTACAGACGCAATAAATCGAGACAAAGTTATGTGTATTACTTGGCTAAACATAATCAAACATAATCAACCAACTATAAGATACGAATAAACTTGTATCCATTTTGAATTTCAGTACATTCCCAATAAATGTATTTGCATTTCAGTACATTCCTAAATCTGCTGCCATTAAACATAAGGAAACAACGCGCTACTGTGACATTGTGGACCTTAGTTCACACTCTTTTTACTACCCCTTTTCAGCATGGTGAAACATTTTTCACCGGAGAAACCTCTGTATGGCAAATTGAGCAACAAACTAAATGCAGTCGTCGCATTGGGGGAAGCTCCAACCAGGACAAGCAAAAGTTTCAAAAGCCCTGGGGTAAAAACAAAATATAAGGTCCTTAATTCCATTCTTAAAATGGAATTCATTACTTTACGAGGCCCCCTAGCTCCTTTCAAACACAAGATTGAAATCAAGAGCACTTTAAAGGTTTTTAAAATTTTGCATCTTGCAAAAATAAAATTTAAAATTAGACAGTGACACATTTGCCCGGGCCCAGTGGGCTCATGTTTAAATTCGTAACTTTTAGAAAATTTGCCCCCCGCACCAACCCACCCCTCCCTCCCCCACTAGCGACGGCCCTGCTGTCTAAGCAATAATTCAGTCTCTCCATTACCACAAACTGTTATTAACAGAGAAAAAGGTAGGTATCCTGTCGCTGTGTACAAAGAATACTGGTACTGTTCTGATGCTGTTGTAGACAGTTATGAATGCGGTGAATTTCTTCACTGACAAGTCCGTCTAGAGCAATGGTGTAGGGCTATTAAAATAACAAGGGGAGCTCTTGCACTAATTGTTGCTAATAACAGCAGGAAATGTACAAATTGGCTAATTTTCGGCATTAACAAGGGGGCTCAGCCCCCGAGCCCCCTAGCTCTACATCCCTGCTCTAGGGTCAATAGAAAGAAGGCCTCACATCAAGCTAAACAGCTGTTGCAAGTTATAGATGAAGCATAGACTATGTCTCAGGGCACTCGGGCAAAACCCCCCAGCCGGGGAAGTTGAAGTCTTGCAAAGCGTACCTCTACCTCCCTTGACGTACCTCCCTTGACGTACCTCCCTTGACGTACCTCCCTTGACGTACCTCTCTTGACGTACCTCCCTTGACGTACCTCCCTTGACATCGCTGACCAATACGTTTCATTTGCTATAGCGTTCTTTTGATTAATCATTTTTTTGCTGGTTATTTGTCAGTTGGTTAAGCTATTAGCCCGAGTTTCAGATTAGATACGTTGACTGTGAAACTCTTTTGCCGGGCTTCTGCTTTTTGAAGTCAAAATCATAAAAGGTGGATAATGTGGCTTTATTTTAGTGCCATTTACACTTATACAGTATTGCCTGGACGCGCTCAGGATTCTGCTTGAGCGTTCGTTAAATAGTGTGTTTATAAAGGTAACTTCAAGGTAGGAGCACAGGGCCCTGATATGGGAAGAAA